AACTGGCTCTATGGCATTGAGTCTTGTTCTAACTTTAGAATGCTTTATATATCTTACGGTAGACATGTTATTAAAAGATGAACATGTAAGTAATATCCTTCATTTATTGATATGTTGGCTTATAACATTTCAAAGCTGTTCAGGATGTAAACTAATGTTTAAAGTCTGCTGGGAGGTAAATCTATAGCGATAGTAACTGGGTTAAAAGTTCCTTAGAGTTATGGCAGAGGAGGCTGGGGGAAGAGTGGGAAGCTAATACTTATGGGTACACGAATGAAGAGACTGTTCTAAAATTGACTGTGGTGATGGCTGCACACCCCTTTTTAATGTATCTATACCAATAAATTGTATGGTATGCGAACTGTGGTAGGTAGATAATTTCATGTCAACTCCAAGATGTGTAAAAGTGATATCCAGCCTGTCCTTTGATGGAGCATCCTTGGGGGTGTGGCCTTCTCATAAGGAGGGCCCTGGGAACCACACTCTCTCTGTCACTGACCCCGAAGCTGCTGGAGCCCTGCCAAGTTTCCGCTAAGGTTGGGTCCACGCGACTACCCCCACAGGCCAGTGACCTTCCTGCAGTCTGTGCACAGCATGTAGCAATATTTAGACCGGGCTGTGAAGCTTTCATGATGTATAATGACTTCTCCATGTAAAACTCTCTTATACATGTATGCGTGTCACTGGACTTGTTGCCCTAGTCAAACTGGCCTGAAGTACATGTCAATAAAACGGCTGAAATAAAAATCTACTGGGATATTAAAAAGACTTAAATTAACCATTTACTTAATCTTTTTTTTTTTTTAACATGGAGACAAAACACTTTAAAGCATGAGGCAAATCTTCAACTAATGGAAGATGGCAGCTTTCTAAAAAAAGACACATCAATGTGAAATACAGTTATTTAAGACAGCAAAATAAAAGTAATGTTCAAAAATACCTATACAAATAGGTCCCTCAAATAAGCTTCGTGCCTTGGAAATCAGTTCTAATGCAGAAACATACCTGCTGTTTCATAATCTTTATCTGTTCTTTTTGTTTTCGCTTCTCCTCAGCAGCCATTATTGCTGTGAGGAAAAAACCGAGCACAGATATGAGAAGCAGAGAAGTTTCTCGTGGATTTTCCAAATTCACTGTTCATGTTTCTGTAGTCCTTTAAGTTGCCTACCTTGCTGTTTTTTTGCTTCTTTGGCAACCCGAGCCTGTTCCTGCTTTTGAAGTTTTCGCAAAAGTTTTATTTGTGCTGCTTGCCTAGCTATTTCTGAAAAACACAAAATTTCAGAAAGCATTATGAACAATTCTCTACAGCCACTCACTTTAAAGCAACCATTGTGTGGTGTAAGTTCCATTATGAAGAAGAAGACACATAAGAAACTTGCCTAATCTTAGACAAGCCAAGAGAGCAGTGTGGCAGAAAATGCCACCTTCATTTCTCTTAGAAATCCCCGAACCAGTTCGGCAAGTATGCTGCCATGCACAGGACACACACACACACACACACACACACACACACACACGATGCTCTCTTCATGCTGACTGCAGGGGAATGCCACAGTAAAATGACTTTTCACAGTTGTGTCATCCTTGGTAAGGAGGGAAAGTAGCTGCTACTACGTAAGCATTACGGAAGCAGCACACCAACATGTGTGATCATGAAGGGCCAAAGGGGCCAGGCTTCAAGCACCAAAGGCGGGGTGGGGGTGGGGGTGGTAAATCATACCATCGTGAATGAGGGGAGTGTGTGATGGGGACCCAATGCCCATCTGCTGACAACTGGACATCCCTTGCAGAGGGGTAGAGGGGAGGAGATGAGTCTCTCAGGGTTCAGTGTAGCAATAATGAAATTCACAACCTTCCTCTAGTTCTTAAACGCTTCTTCCCCCCAACTATCATGATCCCAATTCTAGCTTGCAAACCTGATTAGACCAGAGGATGCACAGCAGTACAGATGGGAACTGGAACCACAGGGAATCTAGGACAGATGAACCCCTCAGGACCAGCGGTGAGAGTGGCGATACCGGGAGGGAAGGGGGAATCGATCACAAGGATCTACATATAACCTCCTCTCTGGCGGATGGGCAACAGAAGGGTGGGTGA